TACTTGAACACGGTTACTACATGTTCCATGAGTATCCAGGCTAAATAGCCATCATTCCTTGAAATGATCTTCATCTCCAATTCTGAATCAAATAAGATAGTGTTTGTGAAGCATTCAGCACAGGACTAGATACATAGTAGCTGTTTAATAAATGCTTATTTTAAAAAATTATATGACTTATTCTGAAAGCCCCCTCCTGGTTGTCCTCCTCTGAAGACCCTCTAGCTTATCAATGTCTTTCTTAACCCACAGTACTCAAGGACTGAACACAATACTGATGATGGCAGAGCTGTGAGACTAGCACCTCTCTGTTCCTGCAAGTTATGCACCAATTCATTCAGCCCAAGATCATGTTGTTGTTTTTTATATTGATGTTACACATATTTTATATATATTACACATATTTTTTATATTGATGCTACAAACCCTAAAATGCCCAGATAGTTTTCAGAACCATTGTTGTCTAACTACACCTTTCCTATCTTATGCTTATGACGTTGACTGTACCCAAGTACAACACTTGACATTTACCCCTATTGAATTTCATCTTCTTAGACTGAGCCCAGTGCTCCAGTCTTTTGAGAGCCTTTTGGATCCATCCCTCCCAGCTTTGCGTCATCTGAAAATCTGTTTATCCAAGTCACTGGCAAAAATATTAAACAGCATAAGGCCAAGCATAGAAACCCTGGGTACTTCATGATGACCTCCTGTTATGCTAGCATAGAACCATTAACAACAATTCTTTGAGTCCTAATGATCTCTCCTATTCTGAATTCATCTGATTGTACTATCATCTTATCTATAGCTCTCCATCTTCTCCATAGGGATAGTATGAGAATTGTCAGCCTTCCTCACTCTAAGAAGAAACTGAGGCCAAGAGGTCCAATGACTTGTCCAAAGTCAAACATCTAATCAGTAGCAGAGCCTCAACCTAATGCCTAATGCAGTAGGCTATAGTCTAGTGGTGAAGGCAGATTCCCTCCCAATTTAAGTGCTCAAAATTACAGAAGGTAGATGAAATGTGAGGGGTAATGAAGTGGCAGAGATGAATGGTATGACTGAAAGACCAGTGGGCTAAGTACCAATATGACTTTAGCCCACTTAACCTGTTTGGGCCTCCTTTTTATCTTCTGTTAAGAGAGGATATTGGACTAGATCAAGAGTTCTTAAACTATAGTCTAGGGGCCCTTGGAGGTGCCCAAGAACCTTTCATGGGGTCCACCAAGTCAAGACTATTTTCATAATAATAATAATACAGTAAATATTTACAGATGTAACCCACATAAAAAGGCAGCTGGATGGCTAGTGGATAGAGCCCTGGGCTTGGAATCAGGAAGACTCATCTTCTTGAGTTCAAATTGGCCTCAGATACTTACTATGTGATCCTGAGTGAGTCACTTAACTCTGTTCGCCTCAGTTTCCTCGTCTATAAGATGAGCTGGAGAAAAAAATGGCCAACAACTCCAGTATCTCTGCCAAGAAAACCCCAAATAGGGTCACAAAGACTCACACATGACTGAAATGACACACCAACAAACCCAAGTAAACAAAAGCTCATATTTTTTAGCATGTAAAGGGATCCTAGGACCAAAAGTGATGATCTCTAAGATTCCTTCCAGCTCTAATAATCTATCATTCTATGTTCTTTTTAAAGGTGGGAGTTGAAGGAAGGGCAGAATAGAAACATGGTCATTTGGTGTTATGCTTCAAGAAAACTCAGAGACTGTTTATTTCTTTTAATCTTCCCTGGTTGCAGAGAATTACCAAGGAATAGCTCATGGAAACTCAATACATTCCTCCGGGACCCAACCATTCAACGCACTCTCCTTTTCTTCATTTTTAGGACATATTTTGTTGTCTTAATTGAAAGCCCTACACGCTTCTGATCAACGGCTGTCCCTCCTAAGAGACTATTGTATCCTAGGTCCCTTTGGAAAAGCTTAATCAGCACTAATTAAGTCACCATCCTAACCCAAATTAATTAGATTTTTAAAATGTTGCCAACACCCATCAAGGTTAAAATAGGCTCAGACATCTCCTTAGACCTCACGCTGGACCTTATAAAATCACACTTAGAAGATACCTGAGAGGTCAGCTCTAGCCAAAGCTCTGAAAAATGACTTCTGAAATTCTACCAATGACTCAAAGCCTCTGAAATTCTGCCAATTACTCAAATAAAGTCGTTTCTCTTCTGAAAGAGACAGACTTAGTTTCCACACAAAGATGAAAAAATAAAACATCGTAGGCTCAGAGATTTAAAACTAGAAGGGACCTCAGAGACCATCTAATCTAATCCCTTCATTTTACAGATGAAAAAACTGAGGCCCAGAGATGGCATGTGACTTGACCAAGGTTGCTTAGGTGATAATAAATCAGACTTACAAAAGAATAACACAGTATTAATAGAAATATGTTTGTTTGTTTGTTTGTTTGTTTGTTTGTTTGTTTAACTTTGAATGGGACCAGTCTGGAATGGTATTTTAAGTTTTCCTTAGCTTAGTCTCCCAACTCTAAGAAGGTCTATATCACTTTGGGCTTTTTTGGAAGGGGCATAGAAAAGTGGGAGAACTAGACTGATAATTATATTTATAGGGAACTATTCATGAACAAACTTCCTGGAACCCAGGTTTTAAAGTCTGGCTCTCTATCCAATCCACTATATTTCATATTTTGCTTCTGAAAACAAAACACAATACTCTAAGACTTTAGTTTAAAACCATTGATGGAAACAACAGAAATGAAAGTCCTTATACCACCAGTACCGAGGTCTTCTAACAAAGCTCCCATGACTAAATGTATCAGCCCATTGTGATAGCCTAATGTTGATCTGGGTAAAAACATCAGTCCATCTGAAGTTCAAAGTAGTTTAATTTATTCTGATAAAGATACTGTTTTGTATTAAATATATAATACCTTCACCTAATATCACCTTGTCTCTACATAGCTCCTTTCTATAGAGGAACTCAAAGCCATCTGAAGGTACTTTCAATAATTCACACCACCTATGAGACAGGAAGGGTGTATTTTTATCTCCATTTCACCAACGAGAAAACAGCCTCAGGGGCATAAATCCAGTGAGTCAACTCTGGAGGCAGCAACAGAAACCAAGTTTCAATATGACCTTGAAACAAATTCATTCCAATGGGGAAAAGAAGAGAAAAATTGGGAATGACACTTGTTTTAGCCCTAATAAGACTCCAGATAATGTAGCCTCCATTAAGAGTAGGAGTAACTGTCAAAGCTGAAGTCCTATTCGGCAAGTTTCTGTACCAACCTTTACAGGATAAACTTGCTGCTTCTGAGAATCCTGTCTCCAACACAAACTGCATCTGCCTTGTATTATTTCTTAGCGCAATTGATAGAAATTTGAACATTTCTCCCACAGGAAACCATTATATTTGCCCAACTTCTTATACAGTATTGCATTCCATTTGTAATTTGTACTTGCAAATTATTTATTGGAAATGGAAATCTATTCAACAAGATCACGGTCAAATAATTTTTAAAGATATACCACTTACATATCCCAATGTCATCAGAAGAACCAGTATGCTTTATAAACTAATAGCTTTACAAAATAGAAAGGTATGGTCAGAGCTTGAGGTGAGGAAAGAAAAAGCGGAGCTGGAATGGTTCCCCACCAATGACAATTGGCCATTGATGATGACCATCCTCAATCCTGACCACTACTATTACTCTACTGTGTGTTTTTGCCACTTTTATATATGCCTTTTTTGGCTTTGTGGGAAGCAGTGGGCATAGCAAAAGCAGAAATAATAGAAACACACTCTTCCTCTAGAAGAATATAAGCTACCTGGGGTCAAAAGTTCCCCAGTGCCTGGCGCATTTAGAAAGGGACCAGACCTGTAATTTCACCAGTTGGCGAAGTCTCAGTGAGGGACTTCCACTATCAATGCCAATTGGATGAAAGAATGGAATAAGCGTTTCTTAAGTGGCTACTGTGTGCTAGGCACAGTGCTAAGGGTTTTGCAAATATTATCTCATTTAATCGGCACCTTATCTGCATCTTGCCATTTTAAGGGTACCAGTGGTACGTTTGAATATTCACCTGTCCCCTGGCCCTCCTCAGTTGTAGGACTTTGTGATGTTTTCCCCTTACCCCCCTGGCTACTTTTCCCTTCGTTTTATGTGTTGTCTTTTCCTCTCCCAGACTGATTTTTTTTAACTAGTAAAAGAGGCCATTCTCTGCCTCATTTCTTACCAAGCCTTAATTTACCTAGCCTCATTTCTTACTATTGCCTCAAACAACCTGAAACCTGGGAAAGACCTTAGCTTAAAAAAGCCAAGGTCTCCCACTGCATCTGTGGCCATCTCCAGTCATCTTGATCTATATCTTGCCACTGGACCCAGATGTCTCTGAAGGAGAGAGTGAAGCTGGCAACTTTGCACAGTCCTGCCTCACTTAAATCCAATTCACTTGCAAGTCATGGCATCACTTTCCTGTGGTCATGGTCCTCTCCAAAAAGGAAGGACAAACAACAACATCTACACTTAAAGTTTTGGGAAATTGCCTGAGGCACTGAGAGTAGAACCTTTCTCTTTCTCCCCACACCCAGTAAGCGTGAAACAAATGCTAATTGAATTCCATTGCCTCCAAGAAGAGAAAAGCAAAACTTTAATTTTGACATAGTTTATGAAACAGAAGGTGGAATTAACACCATCCAAAACAGAGCCCCTGCCCTTGCTTTATCACCTCAAGCATCAGTGGTAGTATTCTATACCATTTGTGTATACCTACTTTATGGATGAGCAAACTGAGGAGCTCTGAAGACTTGGAGAGACTATTGTTTAGATTTACTGTCAATAACTGGGAACCAAAGCCAGGAGCTTTGACCATATAACCCCTCGAATATGAAATCTCAGAGTAAAATCCCTCCCCTGAAAAGTTGTTATAAAGGCTCACTGAGGGCACTAGTTCTTATATTCCTTATGAAAACTGCATCTGAGCCTCAAAATTAGAAGCCCTGGGGTCTACTCACACTTATGGGAGAGGAGCACATCAAATGAATCTGCCCACCTCGTAGCTTCTTCTGTAGATAGCCTCCTGGAACAGAAGAAACAACATTCTGGAATGCTATCCACAAAGCCCACTCCCCCCTCTCCTTTGGCTGGCACAAAATAACACAAAATGGAAACTTGAAATAAATGGATTATTCAATTAATTAATCAAATTAATTAAGTCAAGGGTCTATGACTTTACTTCCACTGGTACCAATCAAAACCCCTCTATGTCTCCAAAGGTGCTTTCTGAAAGCTGACTGAGCCAGGAAGATGGGAGTTTCAGATTTGCCTCTGATACATACTACCTCTGTGATGCCTGCAAAGTTACTTAACCTCTCAGCACTCTAGGCTTCTCTTTACAACTCTAAGTTGGGGAGAAAGGGCCGACCTGCATTGGTAGAAGGAACTTCCTCCCCTAGGAGTTCCCTATAATAATGAAATCACAGGTCTGTTCCCTATTGGGACTATCCCAAGGGCCCCTAAGTTCATCCCCTTTTGGGCAACTTGTCAATGACTCTCTCTGAACTCAGTGAGGTGAGACTTAGAGCAACCTGTTGCAAAACCCACACTCAAAGCCTTTTCGGTTTGATAGCACCTTCCAGACCTTATGCCCTCATTACATTTTCTTCTAGAACTCAGGATCTTCCCTATGCTTGAGGGAGGCATTGGTCAAGAGCTCCAGGGGAGAACAACTTGAAATAACCTGAAGAAATGTCCCCCTTTGCCAACCTAGTGCTTTAGGGGAACTGAAGGAGACATACACTAAAACCTAAAGATTGTATCCAAAAATCTGCCCCTGAACATATGAACACTTTCAAATCAGTTATAGAGCAATGTAGAATCTACTCATGGTGAACATGGGTAGGTTGCAACATATGACCAATGGGGAACCCTGAAAAAGAAAAGTCGAGGATGCCATCAAGGCAATGTATGACCAAAACAGAAGATGGGCTGGGCTGGGCTGGGCTGGGCAGAGCAAAGGATGACAGGTGAGTAGCTGAAGCACTCCACTGGCACCTTTGAAGAATCAGAAAAAAATCAAGAAGGGCCTTCAGCACGTAGGGTGTGCCGAATTAAATAGATTAACATATTTTTATTATTTATTTACTTAATATTTTAAGCAAGTTTCAGTTTCTTAGTTTCAAGGTCCAGGGCTCAGATTTGACACTAACAGGAAGGGGACAATAAAAAGATTCCCTCTCGTCATCTCCCAGTCATTATTTGTGGTGCTTCCCTAAGGGGGAAGAAAGACCAAACAAGATTTTCATTCATTCCTGAGAGAAATAAGTGGTTCCTTCACAAGTGCTCAGAGCTAATATAGTGTTGTTGAAGGGAAAGGGAAAGAGAGAATACAGAGCCTGGAGCACAAAGACATGAATTTCAGTCTTGGTTTAACCACTTACAGTTGTATGACCTTGGGCACATCCCTTAAAACAATAGCTAGCATTTACTTACCACATTAGCACTTTCAGATTTGCAAAGAGCCTTACAAATATTGTCCCATTTGATCCTCACAATAACCTTAGAAGGTAGGTGCCATTATTAGCTCCATTTTACAGATGAGTAAATTAAAACAGATAGAGGTTAAATGATTTGCCCAGGGTCATACAGCTAGTTACATGTCTAAGGCTGTATTTAGACTCAGGTCTTACTGACTCCCAAGTCTTGCACTTTGTCCGCTGGGCCACCTAGCTGTCCCTGAGTCAGTTAACTTACCCGTAAAATGGGGTTAATATTATTTTACTACCTCTCTCACAAAGTTTGGGAAAGGATCAAATGAGATGTTTGTTAAAGCACTTTATTATACAGAAAACACTGCATGAATGAGTTGCTACAAAATGAACTGATTAACAAAGTCACACATCCTTTAGCTGTTTCTTGGGAGTACCATAATTCCGGGGCAGCCTATGCATAACTCTAGCTGGAGCCTGTCTATCCAGGGGTGCCCAGAGACTCTCACAACCGAGTGACTGACACAAGACTGTCCATACTCACTTGAGAGCCCGGTTTGGCTTGTCAGGAAGAATAGCTGTGAAATCACTACATGAATCTGATTTGTGAGACAGACATCCCAGGCGATTCCTCATTCCTTTGTTCCTGCAACCAACAACAGGAGCAGAAGGAAGAGAGAAACTGTAATAAAAATAGTGATCAGCAGAAAGGGTTCCTTGGGGTGCACACAGAAAGCACTGAGAAGCTCACTAGCTCATACAACCACCCCTGAGATTTCAGGAGCAAAAGGGAAGGAGCCAGAAAGATCAGCAGCAGCATTATCTGACTACCTGAATACGTAACAGGTACCTTTCCCCTGGAGATCGAGTGCTTTTTAAAACTTCTACAGAAAACTGGTGGTAAGTCAGTCAATGAAGGTCATTAGCTCTGAAGACTTTCTAAATCAGGTTTCCCCATTGGGAAAGGAGCTACAGTGATGTCAAAATAACAATCTGCATCTTTCCCTCCCTACAGAAGGTCAGAGTAAGCAACTATTCCTCATTGTAAAAAGGCCCATGAAGCCCAAGGAAGGGCAGAGCAACATCAAGCCTTATCAATTACCATTGTCTACACTGAAGAGACACACAGAGCATGGCAATGAAGGCTTAAAATAGTGGCAATGAGGGCTCAAGATGGTATGGAGTTGAGCAGAATGAGGAAGTCCTCTGTGATTATGACTAGTGATGGGGCTATTATTAAAATCCCTCATCAGACCAACATCTCCTGATTATGTTAGAACTAAAAACCAGTAGAGGTTAAAGAGGGGAGGGAAGCAATAGCAATTAATGCATTCAGCAGTTAGGATCCTATTTACAACTCCAATCATTTCATTAACTAAGTTCTCTGCCTTCATTAACATCACTTGGTGCAAATCAAAATAGTAACACATTTTAATCTCAACAGCTCACCTATCACTTGCATTTATTAGCAAGGACCTGGCCCCAGTCAATATTTTCACATGTAACTGATGCGCAAACTCACATGCTCCATTGGTATCTTTGGGTTGCTAGGAAGGTATCAAGGAAGATACCCGGAACGTTGGGTAGAACCTCTATCATGAACTTATGGAGGACACAGATGAGACTCACAGAGTATGGGGAGGCCTCAGTGGGTTCTGATTTATACTGTTGGAGGGAATTCTCACATCAGTGAGCTCACAGATTCATTTGAGTGTTTAAGGGTAATTACGATCAAACCATAGGACATTTAAGCTGACTCTAGAGGAGGAATAGTATAATTGATGGAATGGAATGCTGGATTCACAGTTAGGAAGACCTGTGTTCAAATTCTGACTACGACACTTATTGGTATGTGACTATGAGGCAAGTCACTTAACTACTCTGACCCTTGATTGTAAAATGGATAATAAAACACCTTCGTCCGCAGGGTTTTTGTGAGGGTCAAACAAGGTAATGCATGTAAAGGGTTTTGCAAACTTTAAAGCACTACATAAAAATGAGCTACTATTATTCATTATAATACCATCTAATGAATAGTTTTGCTCATTGCTCTTCCCTCCTGGACACTTTAGCACTTTCTGGTCTCTTACGGCCCTTGTTGTACATTACTATAAGGCTGGAAAGCCAAAAAGTGCAAGAAAGATTCTCATTAGTGGGCCACGTATTATCACCCTCCCCCAAAGAGACAAAATCTCAAGCTCACTTTCATGCCACTTTCATATATTCAGAAATTTTATTTCATTTATAAGGGAAGTTATTATTATTGCAAAGCAATAATCCTGGAGGACAAGGGAGGTTCTGGAACAGTGGTCTTTCAAGTCTTCTCTTTCCCTATCTATTGGTCCCAGTGACTTCCCACCCTGTGGCCCAGAAAGACCCTCTTCTCTAGCCTTGCTCTGCTTCGCTGCATCCAAGAGAGGCTAGTTGCAATGGAAGCACATTTCTCTGCCACATTCTATCTCTTCATAATCATTTCAGGTCCAGAACATTTGAGTCTCCATTAAGGCTACCCCCTCCAATAGACAGTTAGGGATGCATGTCCTGTCCTCCCACCACTTCCCTCAGTTCCCATTACTTAGCCATTTCTTTCATAGCTCTTTAAATATCGACCATAATAGTTCTCTTTCCCCTCTAATGTAAGTACCAGGGCATAGCCACTTGCTGTTACAGATGGCTAGGACTTTTGGTAGCATGAGTCTTGCATGGATAACAAAGCATTCAAAATGACTAATTAAGGGCTCTCAGGTCGTCAAATTTAGTGAGTCCAAGTAAAAACTGTCACGAGTTATTCTATAAGCCAGGGACCTAGCCTTCAGTAACTCACCACATCCACTCTGAGCTTCAGAATCTTAAAAGCATGACATGGAGTTGAATAACTGCTCCCTTGGAGTCATTTCCAGTGATTCTAAGATGAAAAGTTATGTACTGGGTTTGAATCCAAGCTGTTCCACTTCTTAAAGGTGAAACCACCTTGCTAAGCCTCAGTTTTCCTCCTCAATAAAATGGATATACTACTTGTACTACCTATCTCAAAAGGTGAGGAGAGGCTGGGACAGGAATTTGAGCAAATCATAATTTGCAAATCTATATGGGCTAATTGGCAAGGCCCTGCAGGGTATAGTATTACCTGTGTCAGAAACCACCTTGGGGCCCTTAGGCAGCAACTTTCCCTGATGGTACTCTGAGAATGAACAAGTCTTATTTTCTTTCTAGGCTAGGTCAAGCCTCAGGTTGTATATGACCTGTTTAGTTCAAGTGGAAGAAATTGGAAATAACAGGAGAATGGAGGGCCAAAGAGCAGCATTAGGTTTATTGTAGCCTGAAGGGCTTGGAGAAAACCAGCTTGTTCTATTTCCTAAAGCAGCTGTCCTGGCCAACACTATGGGAGTCTTCCAATTAACTAAAAAACGTAATAAGAACAAATAACTGACCACAGTTCCTTGGGCTCCCATCCTCATGCCTGCCAGTCATCTGCAGCATGGGAGCGTACCTGACAGCCACAAGGTGTGGGACTAAAGAATCCCCTACCTGGAGCAGAGGACATTGTACAAAATCACAATCCCAATAAGGGGACATACAAGGCAAAGCAGTGCAGGGGAAGCAGAGAAAGCTTGAGTGGGGCAGAAGCGCAGGAGAGGGCAGGAGGGGAGGAAGAAAGGAAAGGAGGTGGGGCAAAAATGCACGTCATGGTTCAGTTACCTCCGTGGCATCAGTAAGGCCGCCATACAGGCATCCGGCTACAGGCAACCCTTTAATTGGCTGGCTTGCAGGGCCCTCAAGGCAGGAGGTAAGACTGCGGGGAGGAGGGGTTTGCCCTTTCACGTCCTCTCACCTAAAATCAAAGAATCCTAGGTAAAAGAGGGGGCCTAGGCCCTCTCAAACCCCTTCATTCCCTCTCCTCTCAGGTAGGGTTTGGGCCCAGGCCATCCAGGCACGGGGGGGGGGGGCGGGGAAGGGGGGAATGTCAATGTGTCCTCAGCCAAGTGGGCCCACCCAGGGTTGTGCTGTCCAAAATAAGCCAAGTGGACTCAGATTGCTTTAAGATTGGCCAGGAGTTGCTGTTTCCCAAGCTACCGGCCATCATTTAAAGGAAAGTGGGACATATGGCCCAAGGGAAGGACTGAGCTGGCAGTCCCCAAAACGCTGTTCTCTCTTCTTTCCAAGGGCAAAACTGAGGTGACTAATGGGTGAGGCAAATCTACATTGATGATGCCTGGCTGACCCTTTCTCCACCCTGCCCTCCAACAGATCCAAAATGGTGTGCTTGGATGGCATTCTGTTCTTATTGCTCCTTCTCCAAGTTAGTCTATGATGGCAGAACACAGCTCAGGGAGGGTATGAGTAGGAAGAAGGCTGGAAAAACTCCAAGGAAGTCTTTTCAGGTGCTAGCAACCCACCAGCTATCTCCTTCGCAAGGCTACAAACAGAGCCAGGATTAAGGGGAGACAGATAGGCAAAGGTCTAGAGCACAACACAAGAGGGGCTTGACAAGGGATGCTTCTTAATATTGGTTTTTATAAATGCTAAATTTTTACAGCCAGAAAATTCTGCCTTCCATGGTTCATAGGGACTTATTTTGTGGTACTTCTAGTCATATGTGTTATCGGGAAGACTAATAGGAAAAAGGGAGAATTTTCAGATATGGGGGGGTAATCTTTCAATGCAGAAGGGTACAACTTTCAAATCTTGCCTTGGGTGTGCAAAAGTCACATCTCAACTCTGTGTGTGTGTGTGTGTGTGTGTGTGTGTGTGTGTGTGTACACAAATCCTATCTGTGTCATCAAAGAGGCTATCTTATATTAAGGCAACCGGTCTCCTCTAATCTTGTAGGTCCCTGACCATTTCTGACCAGAAGCGAAAAGTTATTGGATGTGTATTGAGACTGATTGGCTTGTATTTCCTTCCTTCTGAACTGTTCAGCAAGGACATAGCCTGGTATACTCCTACCTGTCCACTTTCACAAAGATGAGAAAACAGAAAAATCTAGTTTAAGAGGAGGCATTCCATCCATAAATAGTTCCTCAAAAGAACCCCAGCAATAAACACAGAGCGTACTTGCATAGCTTTTAACTATATATTAATTAATTAGCATTTTAAGAGGCAGTGTTGCATAATGAAGAGAGAGAAGTCTCACCTCTTTCACATAGCTGTGTGACCCTGGGCACATCCCATCACCTCCCTTTCCCTTAGCATCCCTAAGACTCTAAGTTGCAGAGCAGGTAGTTTTCCGATGTCAATACAATCACCGATATGGCTAAAATAAGTCTCTTGAGATTTTATGGTTTTAAAAATTCTTTACTCCAGGAAATTAGGGAATTGTGTTACAAGTCAGAGAATACATTTTCCCAATCCCTGTCCTGACCACTGTCTTCAATTAGACTCCTTAGTGGCATAGAGTCATAGTTTCAAGCTAAAAGGGGAATCACAGAAATCAATGCTTCTAGCTCTTTTTGCCTGGTCTTCCTCTTGACCAGAGTGGAGACTATTTGTAAAGGAAAGACACATTTGCAGAGTACCTAAGGCTTCCTTTCTGTCACAGTTACAGTCAGGAGCTCAGTCCCTCATTCCCTGTTGCCCCAAACAGAGCAGGCAAGGTCACTTGTCCATACCTGACAAGGCATCTCTTGGCACACTCTTCCTCAACCTCACTTCTCTTCCCATTTCCCCTGCAGTCTCCCCCAACCCCCCACTCAAAATGACTCACATCTTCATCGGATTCCCTTCCCTGGATCTCTTAGCTGCCTGCTGTCAGACACTGTTTGTCACTCTAATCGACACCCCCTCCATTTCTCCCCAGACCCTCTGTGCCAAACAAGGCAACTCTTTTGTTCCCTTGATAAACCCAGCATCTGATCCCATTCAGTGAGAATCTGTATATTGCAGTATCCTGAGCCCCCTCTTCCTTCCACAGATGTACTCACTACCCTCACCAGTTAGTTCCAAAGCCAGTGATTTTGCTAAGCCATCACAGTCCCGATACCCAAAGTTTACCCCAAAATCTTAGTATAGTGGGCTGAGGTACAAAGGGGAAGGTGAGGTGTTTGGTAGCACCCCCAAAGGGAACACAGCCTCTTGGCTGCCTCAGGGAAGCCAACCTCCCACATTCAATAGGAGGGCAAAGGGGAAGAGAAGGGTGGAGAGCCCCCTTCCACCCAAGGAGTAAGAAAACCAAGGGTTAAATGAGGGGGGAAAAAAGCTGAGACTAGAGAAAAGGTAAGAGCCACTGAGAGCTTCAGTAGGGAGAAAGCACTCAATAGAGAGGCAGGTTAAAGATAGGTTAGTTAAATATGGATAATGCACTCTGCACATTGGCACCCAGATGAAGGTGAAGAATGAAAAGAAAGAAAGAAAAGCCATACTCACTGCCTTTGACCTGTCCTCATGGCTTGTGGGTCTTTGCCAACCAGATGGTCAGAGAAGCTGCTGGTCAAGGAGCTCTGAGGAGAGAGCAAATCTACCTCTTAGCAGTCAAATCCTTGGCGGGGTGAAGAACGCATGCCGGTGGGGGAGTGCACACACACACATACACACACACACACACACACACACACCCCTCCCACCACTTTTGCCAGGCAGCAAGCAGTACAGATGAAAGCTCCCCCTCTCTGCTTGTCACATCCAGTAAATACTCAAGCATCCCACACCCAGCAGGAGGTGGCTTGGCTAGGCTTTGCCACGCGGTGTCTGCTCACCCATTTTCATTGGAAGCATGAAGGAGGTGCCCACCTGATCAGAGCCCTGCCTGGCACTCTTCCTCCTTGCTAACCTGATTCTCAGATGCTTGGGCTTCAGTTAAATGAAAAGGAACACATCCCAACCTTGCCTCGGTACCAGGAGACTTTGAGGGGTGGAGTGTGGGTGGGGGTGGGGGAGGAGAGGGGAGGGGGAGTTCAGATATAAGGATTTCTTCCTCATGCCCCACCCCCACCTCAACCCTGACTTAACTGGAGATCGAGCATCCAATCGGTCTGGCTTTAATGAGCTCTGCTGCAGTCGGAGAGCCAGTTGCTACTCTGGGATCAGGAATCGTAGAATTCTTGCCCCAGACAGCTGCCGACAGCAGGGACCATGGCCAAGCCAAACCTCCTAATGAGCAGGGGGCTATTCGGTGCTTTAATAGTTCTAACGTGATGTGACAAATGCAGAGAAGGCTCTGGTGTACAGGTAACCCCTCTGACTCCCACTCCCTCACGAGGTGGCTAGCCTTCCTGTTGCTACTGCGCCTCATGCCAGAGCTGAACCCCACGGACCTGAGGCATTCCCATGGGGTACCATATTTCAGCCATCTCCTCCCTGCAGATAAGCATTCCCCTCTCCTCCCCTCTCCCCAACCCCTGCCATGTCCCTGCTCTTCTCTTAATGAGAAACTTCCCTATTCTCTACCTGCCCAACCCTGCTCATTTATCACCCTCTGCTCTCACCTGGATCTTCCCACAGTGAAAAATCACCTCACTTTCTCTGCCATCATCTAGCAGCATCCTGCAATTTGCATTTGCAGAAGGTGGAGACTCTCCCCTTTGTTCTGCCCAGTTCTGACATCTCCCCCATTTTCTAGCCTGTCTTCTCACCACACCTCTTCTGAGGTTCCTTGACCACTCAACAAGGAGCTCTAGGTAGACCCAGCTTATAGGACAAGTCAAATCTACACCCTCCCTGGCTTTCTCCCTGGGTTCCCTGGTCTTGGGTTCTCTTGTTATAAGCACACATCCGATCTGAAAAAAAGATGTCTGGCATTCACCTCCACCTGCAAGCACCAGGAAGGGACTTACTAGAGCTGGGAGCAATCCCTAAGGAAAGGTGCTGTGAGGACTTGGAAGAAGCCCACTTTTCACCCCAGGATTCTTCGTGCAAAACCTGCATTCTGTCGAGAGAGAGTGATCCTGCCTGATGACGGGGCCAAATATAAATTCCACTGCTGTCTCTACAGTGACTCATTGTCTCGCTCTAATAATGTCCATGGTGTCACTCGGTTCAGCAAAGGGACCTTGGGGGTAGGAGATGAGGTTTTACTTTCTCACTGTCACCAGGTTTCAGTCATGTTGCTAGCCAAGCATCAATTCCTTAAAAAATAAATAAATAACCCAGTAGACTCCAGGCTTTGGGATCACTGTCCTGGGACCCTGTACTATGAAAAAAAAAATAGACTGAGAGAAATTGTAAAGATGAATTCTGTGAAGAAGCACCTTGCTATATATAATGCAGATAATGCCACAAGTCGAATTGCGGTCATACACAATTATACGTTTCAAGCATTTGGCACCATCATACGAAATCCCTAGAAGTCGGGTGCTGTTCTGGACTACCAACAGCAATCCAAACTTCATAGAACAATTTAGGGTTAGGGTGAAGTTGGGATTCAGTCAAAGAGCCACCCTTGAGGACCTAGAGGACCACATGTGGCCTCACCCTAGCCCTTGTGGGGATCAAGACCCATTCCACCCATCTCATATCAGTACTGTACTAATAAAACACCTGGTTTTACCCTAGGTGAAAAAAAGTTTCCATTTATATCTCTGGTTCACTTTGGGGTTTGCAAAGTACTTTCCAAAGCACTTTCCTCAAAACAACTCTGTGAGATGAATAACATAAGCATTATTTGTCCCATTTCATAGACAAGAAAAGTGAGGCTAATAGAGGTCAAAGTGTTCACACAATTCATACAGCTGTCTAGCATTAACAGCCAGGATTCAAACCCAGATCTCCTAGTGAATGGTTAAGCCTCTCAATTAATTTGACAAATAAGCTAAACAACAAACATTTATTAAGTGTCTTCTGTGGGTCAGGTACTATGCTAAGTGCTGGGGATATGAAGCAAAGGAAAAAAAAATAAAATAAAATACAGTCCCGGCTCTCAAAGAGCTCACAGGCTAATAAGAGAGATCAACTTGTGCAAACAAGATAGACACAGGATAAATTGGGTGGGTTGTCTCAAAGAAAAAGTTCTAAGATTAAGGAAGACTGGGGAAGGCTTCCTGAAGAAGGTGGGACTTTTTAACGGAGACTGAAAGGAAGCCTGGTAAGCGGGAAGGCATCGAGGAGGAAGGTGAGTGTTCCAGGGAGAGGGGGACAGCCAGTGAAAATGTATGGAGTTGCAAAATGGAATAGTTATGTTCAAAGAACACCAAGGAGTCTAATGACTCTGGATTGTGGTCTACACGGAGAGGAGGAAGGGTTAAGAACACTGGAAAGGTGGGAGGGTGGCCAGGTTATGAAGGGCATTAAAAACCAAACGGAGGATTTTATATTTGATGCAAGAGGCGATAGGGAGCTACTGGAATTTATTGAATGAGGGAGGCCAGGAAGGTTGATACGGTCCGACCTGCATTTTAGGAAGCTCAGTGTGACAGCTAAGTAGAGGATAGACTGGAATGATGAGAAACTTGAGGCAAAAACACCAACTAGCCATAAAACGTCCTTGTATTTGAATGGATCATGGAGAAGACTATTAGCAGAATTAGCAAAGCCTTACTAGGTGGATATATAGAATGCCATATGCACATATGTCTAGCAGGAAATCAATGCAAATTTATTGACTTCATTTCTAAATAGGAAGAGAATTGTCACCAAAATATGATAGTTCTCTAGTGCCACATGAGTTCCAAAATACGTACAATTTGTTTCAAACAAAAATATAGCCACTTTGGTTTCCAAAGATACAAACTGATTTCACATAGAATTTTTTCACTTTGCTCATTTGCTTGAGCAATTGTGTCATAGTTATATGCTTGGGGTTTTTTTGACCTTTGATTCCACCAGTATAGGGAACTCCCAGAGGGAAAACTCTCTATACCAATACAGTTTGGCACATGATTTCCAATTTACCTGGAGAGCAGAAAGGAAAAGTGACTTGCCTAAGATGATATAGTCAGTATGTACCAGAGGAAGTACTTGAACCCTGGTCTTCCTGCCTTTTTGACTGACTCTAATAAATGAAATTTAAAAGAGATAAATGTAAAGTCTTATATCTAAGTTCAAAATAAAAATCAACTTTACCAGTACAAGATAAGGTTTTGGTGGCCCATAGAATCAAGATAAGTTCAATATGTTAGCCAAGAAAGCCTAGTTCTCTGGGCCCAAGCTGGGCAGCTAGGTGGCGCAGTGGATAGAGTGCCAGCCTTGGAGTCAGGAGAATCTGAGTTCAAATTTTTCCTCAGACACTTACTAGCTATGTGACCCTGAGCAAGTCATTAACCCTGTTTGCCTCAGTTTCCTCATCTGTAAAATAAGCTAGAGAAGGAAATGGCAAATCCCTCCAGTATCTTGGCCAAGAAAACCTTAAATGGGGTTACAGAGAGTCAGACATGACTGAAACAACTGAACAAAAACAACTGGGCCAAGATAGAAAGTCGATATCTGCTACTAATCCTCTGGGACAGCCCAGGTACCAGTGGCACTTCAGAGGGAGAGTTTTCCCAGTATCTCTAGCAGAGAAAGGTTCAGTTCCTCAAGAGCCAGGGAAATCCATGCCATTGTTGCAGAAGATACACACACACACACACACACACACACACACACACACACAGACCAATGTAATTAAAGGGATGATAGAGCGAGCATAGATTTCACAATGCAATATTTTAGAAAGCCATAGTGACGTAGGAGGTTTACGGACAAGCCCATCCAAAATGGCCCACATGCATTTAGTTAGGCAAAATTCACCCAGGACTGTACAATATTTAAAAGCTTTTCATAAAAACAGTCATTTATGTATTAGATTTCAATTTGGTCCTGTGTGCTAACGCTCTGTTGCAAATCTTTTAAAAGCAAGCTCCACTTCTGAACAATCCTAGTAACGGCAGAAACATGAATCAACATAAAGTGTGATGATTTGGAATTACCATGGAGACAGGCAGGACACAAGGAAGGGCAGGACTGAAAGATTCCACTTGGCCAAAGGAGTTTGCTCGCCAAATGCCTGTACTTTCAGCCCACCATTCACATAGCACTCTCAGCTTTTACCTTCCTGCTTGCTCATCCTCAGTCCGAGCATCTAGTTGTCTCATTGGCAATGACCGGGCATCAGAAGAGACATAGCAAGAAATGTTACCTCGGGTGAGCTTATAGATCTAGTACCCTACCTCATTCAGAGTTGAGTCAAGTCAGCGAGCATTTAACAAGTGCTTACTATGTGCCAGGCACTATGCTAAAGTTGGGGATAGAAATACATGCAAAAAGGAAATGCAGTTCCTGCCCTCAGGGAGCTTATATCCTAACAGGGTAAGACAAAACATAAAAGGTAGCTGAAAAGGAGTGTGTGTGGGGAGGGGGGAACAGGCATGGTGGTGAACTCCTGAGAATGAAGGATAGCTGTCCTCGGCCCTTCCTCAAAATGGAAGATCCAGGAAGAGCACACCAACAGGAAAAGGCGGAAACAGGCCAGAGGGAGGAGGCAGCTGAGGCCTAGTGGCAAGGTCTAGAAAATGAAGGATGGGTCATT